GGCAGAGGGAGTAAAATTCCGAGGAAAAGGCGAAAGATGGTGTATGCTAATCACTATTGACGTGAAAAACGCTTTTAATTCGGCATCGTGGGCGATACTCCTTAAAAAACTAAGAACAAATAGGTTGCCACAATACCTAATCAACTTGGTTAGAGACTACTTAGACGATAGAGTCATACTGTTTGGAAAACAGAAGAAAAAAGTATCCGCAGGAATCCCCCAAGGATCTGTATTGGGCCCGTTACTATGGAATGTATATTATGACGATATACTGAGATTGGAGTTTGGCCCAGGGGCCAGCGTCGTAGGCTATGCTGACGATGTAGCCATAGTAGTACAAGGTCAAAACAAACAAGAACTGACTCTAAATGCAAACCATGCGCTCCAGGAGGTCGTAAAGTGGCTGCAGGCAAATACTCTGGAACTAGCTGTGGAAAAGACGGAGGCGGTCATTCTGAGTGGACGCAGGAACCGACAGGATATCCAGATTAATGTAAATGACCAGGTAATCAAGCCAGCTAAGGCTATAAAATATTTAGGCGTCCTGATTGGTGAAAACATCTCTTTCGGGGAGCATGTTAGAGTGGTCTCGCAAAAGGCAACCAAGAAGTTAGCGTCAGTCGCAAGACTAATGCCAAACTACAAAGGTCCAAATACGGAAAAGAGGGGGATATTGTATGGAGTAGTGCAGTCCACAATTATGTATGCCGCACCTATATGGAGCCCTGTAATGAGGATAAAGACCTACCGTAAAATACTGGAAAGCGTTCAAAGAAAAGCACTCCTGAGGGTGGCGTGCGGCTACAGAACGGTCTCCAGCGCAGCAGTCCAGGTTATAACGGGTTTCCCCCCTGTGGATTTAATAGTGGAGGAGAGGAGATACGCTGCCCAAGAAGGCAGAGGCCCAGGTGCAAAGCAAAGGGCGAAGGAGCGGACGAACCAAGAATGGCAAAGCAGATGGGAAGCATCCACCGTGGGGAGATGGACCAGAGCACTGATCCCAAGCATAGACAAATGGAGGAGGTGCAGGCACCGGCAGTTGGACTACCATCTTACACAAGTACTTACCGGACATGGCCATTTCAAGGTCTACACTAATCGACTAGGCAAAACCGACACTAAATGTTTATACTGTGATAGAGAGGACAGTGCAGAGCACACGCTGATCAGCTGCCCACGCTGGACCTCGCAGAGACTGCGGATATGCGAAACCCTCGGGAGAGAGACAGAAGCTCTGACGCCGGCGAGCGTGGTGGAAGGCATGCTGGACACGGCCGAAAAGTGGGGAGCAATACAGGAATGCATTATTGATATCATGAAGTCGAAGAGTGTAGAACTTGCGGGAGGAGACGGATAAAACATAGGGGTGACAACCGGGCTAGTGAAGCATGTCCGCTAGGACGATCCCACTAACCTGGGGTATGAAAACGAGGGGGAAGGGTTTTAGTCGGTCGGTGATCTATTGACAAGGACACCACCCCGACACTACCTCGACCGCCAGAACAACAGGCGAGGTGTCTGTTTGCAGATTTCCTAATCCCCTCGAGAAAAAAAAAAAAAAAAAAAAAAAAAAAAAAAAAAAAAAAAAACTTCAAATTGTAAGCACCACATTAATTTTTTTGCAGTTCCATTCGAACTTATCAATTATTTAGGTAAATGAAACTGTAGAATCTACTTATTCCCTACTTATTCGAATGTGCACGAAACGCTCGTCAATTTTGTTCTCGATCGTCCCAGATTATTCTAATCATTATGCTTTCGCTTAACACGTTTAAGGAAGAGTCGGAGCTGCCAAACCATTAATAATCATCATAATTGTGGCCTCCATCGCAAAGTGGTTTTACGGTTATGCGTCATTATGGCTGTTTCCCGACACTTCCTGGAAGATTTATAGACAAAGCAATTTGAAACGCTGAAAGACGCCAAATGGATGGTAATAAGTGTTTCTTATCTTCAGGTACGGGAAGATTTAATAGTATACCAATCAAACTTAAATACAAAATTTTACGTAAGTAATACTAATTTCAGTTAATAATGCATCATTCTGGGTGCACGGTTCGCGTTTCTGCGACTACAGGTTCCCGTTTTCCTAAACTAAAACTTGGCAAGCATATCTGCGCAAAACTTGGTTTAGCATAAAATTGTAATACCGTTCATAAATACTATATACAAATTTTCTGGATTCCTCCTGCGTCGGCTATTGATGAATCGAACTTTCTAATGTTTCGCCAATTATCCTTGAGAGCTTAACCGAAACTGGCTCGCATTCTACTCTGTACCTGCTTATATATTGTTCAATGGGGGCGGACTTAAGGAGGAGATAAGCATTTTTCAATTAGGATGAGTAGATTTGGTTCCATATTCTCGGATTTGAATATATCTGAAATAATGTTGAAAGTTTCAGGAATATGGACTTTAGTAAACAGGAATTCTAAGTGGAAACCAACCGAACTATCCTGTGGATCTGATGTAATGGTTTTAAGCCATTCGGGAAGCTAGAGGTGTTTTATAATAGACTACTATAGCAACACCTTTTTATCGCTGGTCCTGGAATATACATCGTTGCTCTGGAGGCGAACACGAATTGTTTTAATCGCCATGAGGCAGCTGAAGGACTTCCGCCATATTAGTCTGACCTCCATTTCGTTCAACAAACTAACCAAAAATGGAGCTAAGTCCACAAACAAAAGGGAGCGAGGGGCAAATCGTTGGCCGGTTTGATATTGAGTGACCTCGAAACCAGCTTTGAGAGTGAAGTATCTCGTGGCGACTATAGATTCCAAGCTGGCCTTGTCTTATATTCCGTGCTAATAGAGGCAGTATACTTTTAGAACCTTTATTAGGATTCTAACTAGACGACGACTACCAAAGCATTAAGCCACTGGGTTGGCTTGTCGACTTTCCTAATTATACCTTGACGTTCGAGATCATTCAACTTAATTTTGACTCTACAAGTGCTTGTGATATACGCCTGGTTTGAGGAACAGCATCGTTTTTGAGCACAATTTTGTGTTCCCCTGAAAAGAACCCTAATCCTGAAAACACTTCAGGAAATCTTTCTCAATATCACCAATATTAGAAAATGTATTTCTACAACTGTCTGTCTAAGCAGCCTTGCAAACCTAATAGTGGCATTTGATTTTTGCTACTAACAATGACAAACGGTGAGGATGCAGAAGTTTTGGGAACTTTACACAATAATGTTACTTCACCATAGGGCCTTATTTTAAAGTTCGGATTATCATAAGACGTTAGTCATATATGATTTTTTAATCAAGGCATTTGTTAATAGTCTTGAAAATGTTGAGAGGCAGAACACTAATCTCTGCTCCTGAGTCAAGTTCGAAATTCACTCTTGTACCTCCTATTTCAACTCCCTTGCTCCAAATCATCTCGTCCACTGCTCGTTGCATGTTGTTCTTTTTTACAGCACCAACAAAAAATTCTTTCTCCTTCTCATCATCGCTTCTCGTCTTCTCTTTCAAGTTCATGTACTGTCCTATTCTTGCTTTTGCTAATCCCTTTTTCATGTTTCTCCCATTTTTGACCAGTTTTTCCACCATTCCGATCCTTGTTTTTCGTGAGACCCGCATTACTAAAATGACTTTCTCGGCCACATTCATCACGGACTTTGCCATAAGCTGGACATTTCCCTTTTCTGTGGGCAAAACCACAACATGTACACTGCTTTCTCTCCGGTTTACTTCTTCCTTTAAAGCACTAACTGAGGCTTCTTGCATTTCTTTCATCTGCTGCTGACCAGCTTCAACACCTCTACACAGGTCGATAGCAGACCGTAATTTTAAATCCTTGTTTTTTAATAATCTCTCGTGTTTAACCTTGTTTCTAATTGCCATTACTATTCTCTCTCTGACCATATCATCTTATCTTTACACTCAGTTGTTTTCACTGCACTTTTCAATTCTGTCAAAAATTGTTGGCCTTCTTTCTGCTTTATGGAATTAAACAGAAATTTCTCTCATATTTTCTTGAGTGATCTTCCCTCCACAGAGAGTTATAGAGATCCAGGCCTCCTTCTCATAGGCAGTGTAAAAATAATGCTATTTGTTTATTTTCCTCCTTTGCTGATAAATCCGTTGCGAAGCTAAAAAGTTCAAACCTTTGTAAAAATCTATCCCAGTTTTCTGCAATATTGCCCTGCATCGAGAGGGCCTCCTGTAGTCTGAATAATACTTCCATGGTTCCCGTTTTGCAGTATTATTCCATATGTAACTGCAACGAGTATAGTCCAATCTTCATGACACCATATCTTATATTCCGTACTAATAGAGGCAGTATGCTTTTAAAACCTTTATTAGGAATCTAACTAGACATTTTAACAATGCTAGATTAACGCCATTCTTTTCAACTGTTCTAGCGCGCTCTTGTTAATAGTGGTAACAATGCACACTAGATGTCAGAATGGTTCCCTATAGTAATACTACATAAAACAACATATGTATAACACAGGCCTGAACGGATCACGTTAATGAAACAAAGCGGAAGGCGTTGGGGACATAACTGGGAATTTGAAACCACAAATAACGCCCTGGGTGTACACGATGATGTTAAGACTATTGGCCACCTTTGCGGCCTTGGTGTGCTGGTGCTCCACTGAGAGACACAATATTACGGTGGTCCTAGAGCGAGTGCATAAGTTATTAGAACGGAGACAAACTCTCAAAACAACGCTAACTGCGCCTAGAGGCACTATTATTGCGATACTGATGTGATCTCATGAAAAGTTTGGTTGAAGGTACTCGCTCATGTTTTGGTTAAGGTAGCTCAGGACTTAGGTTTGTCTGCCGATACATTGACGGAATATAAATCTATAAGTCAAAATACGAATCGCATTCCACTAGGCAATTCCTTTATTACTAACATAAATTTTACGGAAGTATGCGGCTAATAAAATTCGATCTGTTTCGAATTTAAAACTCGTTTATAAGCATGCAAAGGGTTGCGTAGTTATTAAAAATATTTATGTAGAAAAATCTTACCCCTCGTGACCTCAAAGGCCTGATAAAACTGAGATAAATAGGTCAAGATCGACAGTCGATCGGGTACTTCATATTCCACCATGTCCTCGGCCTCAAGCAAAGCAGGGATGCCCAAATGATGTTCAGCCACCCTGAAGGCTAATTCATTGTTGTGGTAAACATCGTCTTTATTTAATTTGTCGAAATCTCTGTAACAGAAAAGGCAAGAGAATATGAACTAATAATAATAATAATAATCATGATCTTAAACAAGTCTTCATTTTAAGACAAGTAATTATATTAAAATACGTCAGTGGTAAAAATTTGAAAATAGAAGGTCACTATATACAGGTTGTCAAAAAACCTAGACACTATAACCTTCGTACCACAAAAATCAATTTTTCAAAGAGACTTTCACAGACTACTGTAATACTTTTTACAAACTTCTTTGTTGTCAGTTTCAGTCAAGCTCTGAAGAAGCCAACAAGATGATTGGCGAAAAGTTGGCAACTTCGACTCAACAAAAACCGACGCAGGAGGAATCCAGAAGTTTTGTAAAAAGGAATACAATAATCAATTAAACAAACCTATGCGACAGACACCTTTAAAATCAGGTTTAAAGCTGAATTTCTACAGAGCAGAAAGCAAAATTTGCTTAAAATTGGAGGTTGGTAATGGTGTAAATGTATATATATATATATATATATATATATATATATATATATATATATATATATATATATATATATATATATATATATATATATATATATATATATATATATATATATATATATAACTTTTTTCTCATACCAATATAAACCAGTGCTCACTAGAACATCTTTCACTTTTGACTTTCAGTCTTTAATCAAGTAAAATGTTTAATAAAGAAAATATGTGTAAGTGCTTAACTTCACAATACTCTATAGACACAAAACATCTGACTTAACATTTTAATTCTGTTCTCATACTGCTTTATTGAGGAAGTGCATGCAAAGTCCAAGGTTTTATGACAAAGTAATGTCACGTCAAAACTGGCATGAAACTAACCAAATGGAAATGGATGGAAAGAAAAAGGCGTTCTGGGGTGTCAATATTTTTTTAGTTGGTTTAGTTTGTTTGGTTTCTTCAACTCTCTAGTCTAAAATACATAATTATGCACAGTGTCACTTTAACACGTCAGCTTGATTAAAAACTGTCGCGAGCCACTTGAGCATTAAAGCCACAGGTCGGGAGAGATCAATCTTTTCGGTGGATTTAAAACATTTATGGACGTTTGTTGAACGTATTCATTCGGTAATATTTCCTGTGCTTCGCATTTGGGGCAAAAATCACTCAAAAACATCTTAGTACAATGCGACGCCATCTCGAATCGATAGTAGGTAGACGAGAAACAACAATGGACTGTAAATTTTGATAAAATTGAAGCTATAAATAACGTGGCGATTCAAATAGTAATATATTGGTGTAACGAGATGAAAAATGACAATCTCTTTTCTTCTTGGTCTACCTTGATGCAGCTCTGGCTGTCGACTGGCAAAATTTCGCCACTCGAGATATTTTAATTCTGGCACGCGGAAACTGCTCTCACGTTGGTCTCTACCTGAGTCGTACTAGTCCCGTACTAACCGTAGCAATTAATTAAATGAAAACCAATTTTAATTTGCTCGACTTACAAATTCCCGAATTATCAAAAACTAAAAAGGAAAAATGAAACAACAATTTCGATTGGACGAAACAGATTGTAGTAAAAGAGTTTTGTGATAAATTTCATATGAGTCATTACTTAATAATACGTAATAATAATTGGGAAAAAAGTTTTAAATAGATATTTTAAAAAATTATGTTGGTACATCGCTAATTTTATTTTTCAAATCTTATAGAACAGCGAATTGTTTTAGACAGAAGATCAGACAAAAAAGAAAAAGTCAAACAAGAGGGACAAAGAAACGACAAATATTATAAAAAAAATTATAAGCAAGATGATTTCCGATTTAGTAGATCATGACAAACTTCAAAATTCAAGCCATGCGGTAATATCTCGGAAAACATCCCATTACTCCCAAACCCGTGTGGTAATATCCCGGAAATGTCCGGATTGGCTCGGATCCGTCGAAACAAAACTGACGTGGTAAAATAACATTTTCCGCACGCTAGGTCGGTGTATAATTGGCTTTGGGAGCAATTGGATATTTTCGAAGATATTACTACACGGCTTGCAATATGTCAAATCTGACGGTCATTTCAGTGAATGTATCCGCGTTTTGCAAAAAAGTACCCAAAAACTATCTGTCGCAGAAACAATACAGTATGGTAAACGGCATTTGAGTTACTCGTTTAGTAAACATTCTCTTCGCTCGTGTCAAATAAACTCGTGACTCAAATGCCGTTTAACACACTTGTTGCATAATATACTATTAAAAGTCAGAAAACTTAGATCATTTTCCAATGAATAATGATTTTTTGTCTTTTTTATCTTATAATCGATTTCAAGCAAACGTTTCATAACCCAGGTTATACATATTTTGTTGTTTTCTTTTTAATTATCAGTTGTCGGGCTAAATGTTCCACCGAAATTTCGTTCCTGAACAATCTGATTTTCTATCGTTGCACCAGAATAAACCTCTCTAGATGATGCTTTGTTCCATACATATATGTGAAAATTTAAATTTCACCATCTGCTTGGAGCAATTTTTTTTGTTACATTTGCTCTAAATAGGATCTTCTATTTCAAAATAGGCAGAACTGCGTTTATGTAAATATGATATCATTTGTATAGATATATTTATAATAATTGTATTGATATATTTAATTTTTATTTCATGTTGTAAGATACTGTAGAAACAGCAGCAGAGGTTTTTTGGAGAATCTGTAGCGGTGACAAATTACATAGAGGAACTTTTAACCTACCGACCTTTACAAAATCAAGATGAACTTATGCCGTATGTACTTTTTGGAGGCGAAGACTTTTCTCCTTAATGCGAAATCCATGTCCACAAAAATATCAAAGACTGAGTCTAGCACGTCCTATGATATAGAATGCATATAATAAATTGCTGATATCCAACTTCTTGCGCTTAGAGCTCATGATCAAACACTCCGAAATTGCATCAACGAAAATGAACAGAATTTTTTCATAATTAGATATCAGCATAAAATTCGCATAATTTAAGTGGCACAAATACGATCTCTAAAAATTGTCATTATTTACCGGTCTCTTGATCCATAGCCAAAGTAATTTCCGCCATACTTTGTCTTTAATATTTTTATGTGCGGTACGGCATAATTTTTTTAATATCTATATTTTCATTAATTTAAAGTCTGTTGTGGTTTCCAATAATTGAGAATTAATTTTTAGGATAAACGTTAAACTTATAATCTATTTTGAGAACAATCTTGTAACAAAAAACAATCGGCATCGAACCTTTTGCGTTCCGTATGATTATGCTCTCTCGCTCTTTCTCTAGCAAGGGTTTGGGAAGTATTCATTTCGCAAAACAGTTGAATATGTGTTTCCGTTTTACGGAACGACCCACATCTCATTAGACTCAATTTTGGTTTTAAAGACCCGATACCAATTGTTCGATGTTCGGTGGTAGAATTCGGCGTTCTCAATTTATTTAAAAATTATCCGCTGGCGCCCTAACGTTCTAGTTTTCCTACACGTATCGCCGTAATAGTATTCACCTTCAAGTTGTAAGAATCTATTTAGCAATCTTTGGAAAAGTTTGATCATTAAATTGATTAAAATAGTTTGGTTTTATTCAATCTCTTCCAACATGGGAAATCGTCCTTCGAAGAAGAAATTGGGAATTAACTGTGTGGGTCAATTCATACAAAGAGTTTATTGTACGCGAAGTCTAGTCTTACGACTACTCACACTTGTTGTGGAATTGACCGGTCTATTTTTTTTGTGTCAATTGACCGAAATAATTTTGAAAATACCATGAAATTTGTATTTATTTATTTATTTATATTGTGCGTTACGTTGCCGTCACGTCGTTCTGGGAACCAAATGGAGCCGATAGTATTATTGGAATTCCCCGAATCGTTTAGTATCGTATTCGGGTATCCATCCCTTAAAGGTAAATTGAAGATCACAAACCCATAATAATTTATTATCAAATACATGTTATTATTAAATAATGATAGGTAACACTCTACAATTGCAAGAGGTTATTTAAAATATTTTTTGGTTAGTCGATTACGAAGTTGTCAATTGATCAGTCGCAAGTCACACTTAAATGATTAACTCATGTGCTTGATATCTGGATATATCCAAAATCGAAAACCTATATACAATTGACATATTTTTTGGTTCATATGATTTGTTTTTTACCTATAATGCATGATAATTGAATATAACTAGAGTGAATAATATTCAATAACAGACATTGACAACTTACTTTATACTGTCCGAGTTGAATTATTCATAGTGCCTGGGTATTGACCTTTCGGACGGTTGAGAACAATTCCAAAAACAAACCGCCAAGTTTCGTGTTTAATTGCAACCCGTTTTGACTTTATAGAGTATACGCTAATTATGAAATAATAATTAACTCATTTTTTGCATTCGCTATATACAGCGTTTTTTTTTATAGCCGGGTGTGTATGACTTTAATTGCGTCAAAAACAATACAAAGCTTTTATATAATTACAATTATATCCAATTAACTGGGAATAAGAAATCTTAATTGCGTTTTCATTGATAATGTTAATAAACAATTTAAATTTCGAATGGCATGACAAATGTGTATTTAATAAAGTTGACGGCATAGGGACTATAGTTAGCAGAGATTTTACGTGGAAACTAACGGGAATATCCTGTGGATCTGATGTTATGGTTTTTAATTGTTCAATGAAATGAAAGGAATTAAGCCATTCGGGACACTAGAGGAAGAAATTCCATTACACATACAGAAGGTATAATTGATCAGTGGCATAACAGAGAACAAACAGTCGACAGGCAGCAGTTTCTTCCACTTATTATTAAGGTTAACGATGGCTCTAGTGATTTTAATCATTTAAGTGATAGAATAGTAAGTTAAAATAGTCAAGTACTGAAATATTCAAAATACCAGTTCCCAAAAGGGTTATTTATGACGATAAATGGACGGTACGAAACGGAGTTTTTATACCCTACTTTAAATTTTTCTTTTTCGCTTGCAGCAAAAAGTATCACAAAAAAAGCACAAACTCTACTGTTAGC